TGAGAGCGTTTTGTTGCTACTGACGAACAAATCCGCACATTGCAGAAACACGCCTCCCAGGAACAGGACATGGTGGACCAAGTTCGGCGATGAAATAATTGCATTCGGGAAAGCATGCTTGCTCGCTGTTGCAGGAAGCCGTACAGGACGCAAGTCACCCAAGGCATGAACAGGTCGATAATAGTGCGCTTAAAACGGGGCATGGGGATTTTGGAGAAACAAGTGATAAATGAGTAGAGCCAGTGCGAAGCCTGAGACTTCAAGGTGACAGGAAGCGTCGACTAGACGTAATGGTGAGAGAAAACTGTCAGTATCACAAGACCGGTGGCAGGCAACAACATCATTCTTCGCAACCCGACCTCAAATTTTTCTCTTGTCTCCTGATCCGGGCGGTCGGTCTTTCTGAAAAGTGTCGCCATCTGGGTCCCGTTTACACCACACAACCGGGAACACAAACGAGCCGTTCACTCTTCTGCGCCCACGACACTTGGTCATTGCCATGAGGATGTTTGACGTCCAACACGCTTCCACCACCAGACACACAATTCCCTAGAAATGATGAAATTGCATATCTCCCTTCTGTCACTTTGTGCAGGGCTCGTTTCTGCATGCTTCTGTGCGCAACCTCCTCGGTAAGCAAAACCATGCGGCAGCACGGAGTGCGTACCAGCTCGGGGTGGGCACGCTTCCCTCGGGCTGTTCGATGAAAAACGCTCGGTCTCGCATTTTCTCGTGCGCGCAATCAGTCCAAGTCAGGAAACATTGGACTTAGCCTACCGTTGTCAGGAAACATTGGCCTTAGCCTACCGTTGCCAGTTGCCAGACTCAGCAGACACAAACCAGGAGAACACGTCGAAGTCTTTTGAAATAAGCATCGCAGAGAGCAATGAAAGAGATCCACTGCGCATTGCATAATAAAGACTCTTCCCCAACGTTCTCCGGCAGCCGGACTGAAAAGAGAAATCAGGCCAGAGGTCCACCACACAATTTTGCAAAGCATAATTGGAGGCAACATGGTGAATCCAAACAGCCGGGAGAAAGATCTTAATCCAGCTTGCTAACTGGTGTTCAGGGAATGGCAGAATGACCCGTTGACAAGTGGAAACCTGACGAAGTACGGAAAATGTGTCGCAAATGCACGTCACGGTGCCGACCCCGTGGACAAAGGAAGCAGTCAATGAAGTTGCCCGGCGCTTCCCCAGTATGTCTGTAGCATGGCTCGTTGTCGCAACTTGGGCGGGATTCGAGCTCGAGCTGCCTTTTGTTGAGGAAGATTGCTGCGGACAGGGGTCGGATGCTACAAGGGCGAGGCGGTGGGTAGTCCAGTTTCGTCCAGTTGCTCAGCTGACTCTGTTGACACAGACGCGTGCACGGGTGGACAAAGATTGTGGTGGAGACTCCCGGCCGCGAACCCTGCCGCATCTGCCGTCACACGAAGCGACGACGTTCACACGCGCCACGTCGAGGCGCTTAGCGTGGCGAGATGTGGCGAGACAAGAGAGGTGCGCGAGACCATGCTTGCGCATGGATGCTTAGCGCAAAAGCAGCTTCAAGCGGCAGCGGGGACCCCATCAGATGGGGTGCAACGGTTCAGCCGACCTCGGATGGGATGGCTGCAGGATGCTGAGCGCTGGGAGCAAAACCAGGGGCCGTCAAGTGACGATAATTGTTGATTGCACGTGGGTGACTATGCATCTTTGCATGTACAATTGCATCTCATGGACGCGCAAGTTAGATCCCGATGCAGGCCCATCTGGCAGATGGTCGCAAACAACACATCATGTGCTGCTCAATTCCGATGTACTACTATTCGCTGCCCCTTCATGTCGTAGAATCGCCTCATATCGCCACCAACTCGTCCAATCAATCTGCATGCCACCATCGTTTCAGTACTGACGACAAGCGATTCTGCACGACCAATCGCTGTTCCCCCCGATGGCAAGCATCATCTAGGAATTGCTTGCATGTGCTTCGGTTGGGGAACAGGGCTAACCTTATATCTTTAAGTCTTCACCGAGGAACCTACACGCCACCACCTACGCACGCCTTCGTGCGAACGCTTGGTCCAGGCAACGAGCTCCAAGTACGCAGACCACCCCGAATGCAACGGCGAGACTTTTTTTGCGAAATCCAATGGGTTTATGTTGTATCTGAATCTTTTTCGCAGTAGATCGTTACGCCTTCGGAGCGGCTTGGACGCGGGCTTTCACTCACACGCCAACGCTGACTACCATGGACTCTGCCAGCACAGCTCCATGCAGCGATGGATTGACAGTTCTTCGATCAAAGGCCACGGAAGTCCACACATACACGGCTGGCGCTGCTGCAGGCAAAGTGCGCAATTCGAATACACTGCCGGCATCGAGAATCGAAAGTTCGGACTCTTTGTCTTGGCGCTCGTCGCCGGCGCCGTAAACTTGGAGGGCGGCGAGCACACAAGGCCGCCATCGGAGCTGAGAGCATCGACCCCGAGATTGACACTTGTGACCTGGGGTACGGTGAAGCTGCGAATGCTTCCGTCGTTCCTTGCGACCTTCTGCGCTGGGACGGCGCGGCAGAGAAGGCAGCTCAATCGCTTGTCGCACCTGGGCAGCGACCTCTGGAAGCCGCAGCCGAGGGCCCTCACGGCTCGGCGGGGAGTACCTTGCGGCGCCCTTAGACGCCGAATGCCGCGCGGCATCAAAGTGTCGTCCGATCCGCTAGCAGCTGGGCAGGCTCGGCAAGGAGACCCATCCCAGAATCACCAGAATCCACGCAGATCAATGCCCGAGATCGCTGTCACACCTACTTCGTCCCTTCCCCCTCCCCCTGGTAGCAGGCCATGGCTCAACTTGTCGTCCATGCTCTGCAGCCTGCCAAAGGCAGAGAAGCATTCAGGTAGAACATTAAAAGAAGCTCGGGGCACAAAGCTGCAAGACTGCGAAACTTGGTGGAAGCAGGTCATACTTCCAGCGTCCCTTCTTACAGCCCACATCCGCACCCCAAAATGCCGAAACCCCTGCAAGAACCCAAGCAGGACTGACGAGGTCAACAACACTTGCCGCAAGACATTCAGATAAGAGGCTCCATGCGAACGCTGGCAAAATGATCGGCTTGCTCTTTGCAGAACATCAAGATCGAGTCCAGCTTCTGCCTTTGCTGGGACATGCTGGGGCTGCTAGCTGACTTCTCTGTTTGGGTGCCCCTGTCTCGCGATGCCGGGCCAGCTCGGGGAGATGGGGCATGAACCACTTACGCAAAGACGCAGAGGTATTCTACCAACATCAAGTGCCGTCACGGCATAGCGAAACACTTTCCAAACTTGGCTGTGTGCTCAGTTGGTGATGCGAGCAAAGACACTCCGTAGACAACGGGATCGCCGCGGGTGAATCGATTAATGGCATCTCTTCCAAGTCGTTGCCTGTCCGATAGCGTCTTCGTACATACGATGTTCCTGAAACCTACAGGCACGGCAGCAGAACAAACGAGCCTTTTTCAGGGGAGGTTGTCACACACGAGTAGATGATAACAGAGTTGCCCGGTAGCTCGCCAAACAGAAGGCTTGAACATCCGAAAGCTGCGAACCCCCGGGCCCAGGGGCGGCAGCCTCTTTCAGGGAGTTCCAGGTCATCAAGATTCCTTGATGATTTTCCCTGGAACTCAAGGGGTACCTTCTGGATGTATCCCGAGACAGGCGCTGGGTCTACTCTGCCTGCGCCTGTTTAGGGGTTCCCTTGCCCTGACGTGTTCAAGGTCCGCAATGAGTGGAAAAGATCTGCGCAGCACAAGTAGAATTATGTAGAATTCTCTGGAATGACAACGTAACGAGAAGGAGGGGTGCCTGCCCAGCCTAGCTGCCTAGCTACGAACCAACACAGTCTGGAAACAACGAGATGTGACGACTCTGCGCCTGGCCAGTCCTCATCGCCCCTGAGGAGAGGCAGTTTGCTCAAAATAGCAGGAGATTCGGGAACGTTGCTGAAGAGACATGTCGTTGAGAAGCATAAAGCAACAGCACATGTCTCACGCGGACTTGATCTTTGTGCCCCAGATGCGCTGCCAGTTCATCGTAGCTGTCCATGCTGTTGTGCAAGCCTGGCAAACCCCACGGACAACAAGTGGCGGAAGTGGATGCGCTGCAACTACATGCCAGGACAGAAATCCCTGCACTCAGCTGCTTGACAACTTGACAAGGACACGGTATGCTGAGATCGATCGATTGGATTTGTGTGAAGGTCTCTTTCAACTACTGGGAAAATGCAAACTGATGACGTAAGCCCCGTTTGCACGGATCTCCCCTAACGCAAGCTTGCAAAAGACTCCAAGCCAGCGAATGCAAAGAAACCGAAATCCTGGACCCCTCTGCCGACCGCCCAAGAAGACATAGGCCGATGCGAAGCACTGCATTGCACCACTCGGAGGACTCTCCGAGGCCTGGCCTGGTGACTCCGTCATTCGAGGCTCGAATCGGCTGCACTCTGGGCATGTGCTGCAGAGCTGAGAATCTGCCCCTGCCTGTTTGCAGTCCACAATGTGACAATCACATGCACTTCTGTATAACTGTTATGGCCTATGCTCCAGTTGCCGGTACCCAAAAATCCTCTGTCATGCTGTTGCGCCAAAGGCAACTCCAAAGTGCGAGGTCATCAACGAAGTCACACAAGATGCCAAAAAGCATGCAATGTGAGAAAGCTCGCGCCCGCATGCTGAAGGCTTTTCGTGAAAGCCCATGCTGAGCTGCAAGTGCAGAGCTTGTTGCTTTTTTGTCATTAAAACCATGCACCAGATGCACGGAGCCCTTGAGGTTCCGGCTTAGATCTTTGCGTCTACGACTGCAACGTCAGGAACAAGTCGTGTGCAAATCGACTCAGAAACAAAGGATCCGCTTGCTTCATGGGTAACTGTCTCCTACATGTTCAATCTACACCACTTCCATGCACACGATCGCTACCTGCCATGCAAAGGCGGCGAGCTTCACCCCCGCGCCATGCTGTGTACATATGCGACAGTTGACGAGACTGTCAGGCATTAACTGCTTCCATCGATAAAAGCCTGAGCTTGTGAAATTCCCTGACCTGCACAGTCCCTGTTCCTCCGGATCCGGACACCTTCGCTGGCTCAGCCAAGGTATTTCCTGCAGTACACTCGCAAAGAGCATCAAAAAAGCATCCCAAAACCGTCTCTGCTAGCCTGGAGCGAACGTTGGCACTCATCATGTGGCCGAATTTGCCGGAGGGGGGCCCCGGTACGGCTGCGGCACCTGAAGCATTCAGCGTTCAGCGGTGTCCAGCTGGGCGCCAGTTGGGCTACGGCTGGTGCCATCCGATCGGAGACCTTCCGACCTGAAGCAAAAATCGCTCTGCCCGACTCAACTCTGTGACTTCCTGAACACTCCACTGATTCACAGCTCGCCAGACTTGCAAGCACAGCTTGAGCCGAAGGCTTCACCGTCTTCTCTGCAGCGGAGAGAATGTTGCCAAAGTTCGTACCGACCATCCTCAGTATCTCTCGCTGCACTGGCAGTAGAGTTGCATGGCTGCCACTTGCTGGGGCTTCCGCCATTGCATGAGCTGCAGGAATCCTGCAAAGTCCATTCCTTGATCCGGCTTGTCGGAGTAATTCAAACACCTGCGCAGACAGAACAGCTCAAATCCGCGTCTCGAGGACATGCCATGCAGAGACCTCTCGAAGAGCTGCTGCCGAATGATGCCTGTGACCTGCACAATGACCAAAGCCATGATCATCCACTAGCTGTGAAAGTGACAATGAAGTCACTCGACGAACTTGCCCCGCCATGTGTCTGAAGTAGGTTGAAAATCGGACACCTTGTCGCGTGGGTCGTTTTGGGTTGAACCCCCGCCATCGCCCCGCCCCCTAGAACACGCTTGGAGGTGTTCGGGTGGGGTCTTTCATTGTCCCCATCCCCTCTGGCGATTAAACTTTAAGCATGTCACCGTAAAACATGCAACGCCTAACAATTGGCGACGCGCGGCCAGCGAGTGCGGGAGCACCTCCATCGCCGTTGGAAGATGCCGACGAGGCTTCGGTAATTTGCGGAATCGCCGGCTCTATTGGGTCGTCCCTTTGGCAAAGCTCGGCCTGGGTTGCTGGCACGAAACTTCATCCGGTCTTCCAGTGAACTCGTCGGCCGACCAGTTCACAAGGAGACCGGTAGGAAGTTTCGTGCCAGCGAGCATCCGCCTGCACACCATCGCTGAGGCCAGACTCTCAGCTGCAACCGCCCGCAAATCCTGATCCAGCGACTCGTACTCTTCCGCGCTTTTTTAAAGTCGGTTACGCCATGAAGATCTTTGAGCAGTTTTTTCCCTTAATATCGGCATGGCGTACCCGAACTCGTTCACAACCCGAACGGCCTTGTCCACTTCCGAAGCAAAATCCCACCACGGAAGCACACTCTCCGAACAAGTATCTAAATCTAAGCTGTGAAGCCACACGGAATCTGTGTGATTGAAGGCTGCACTACAGCGTTGACGAACTGCTACTCTGCCGGCGCCTGCTGCTTCTGGACTCACTGCTTGCCGGACCTATCTGATTTTAACAACCGATCTGTGCTGGCGAACCTGTGCGCCACTGGATCTTGTCAACGGACACCAGTTTCTAATCGCAAAAGCCATATTGGCTCTGCAGTTGCTTCAAATTCTCCTCCGGAATGAGCTTTTTGCAACTGGGCCATCTGTCGCCCAGGGTCGATGTATGCTTTAAGCATGTCACCGTAAAACATGCAACGCCTAACAGTTGGCGATGTGCGGCCAGCTGGCTGGGAAGCACCTCCATTCCCACACGCCGTTGGAAGATGCCCACGAAGGCTTCGGTAATCTGTGGAATCGCCGGCTCTAGGCTCGTTGGGTCGACCCTTTGGCAGAGCTCGCCCAGGGCCCAAACCGCGGACCAGTTGACTGGCAGACCGGCCGGAAGTTTCATGCCAGCGACCAGGGGCTCCAGAACATGTGCAAGCAAAGGCTGCACCTGAGCCGTGCAGTGAGGTGCGGCGCTGCCCAGGAGCCAGAAGCCGGCTTGCCGGGCCCTCGAGCTGGAGGCGGTCAGTGCCAAAGGAAGGACACACAAGAAGTTGTTCTGTTTGAGCAGGCCAACTGCTTCCGCCTGCAGGCCATCCATTGCTGAAGCCAAAATGTCAACTGCGGCCGCCATCAACTCCTGGTCCGGTGGCTCGTACTCTTCAGGGTGCTGCTTGAAGATCTGCATTGCGTAACCGACCTCGTTCACAACCTGAACGGCCTTGTCCACAATTCGAGGCAACATGCCTGCAAGGAAAGATGCCAGGTGTTGGACGATGCTGGCCATGCTCTCAAAAATCGCCATTGCCGTTGGGTCACCACCCTGAACAGAGAAGAAGCGCTGCAAGATGGTTTTCAGCACAGCCTGCCCTCTTTCACTCGTGAAAAGATCTGGTGAAGCACCCACGGCACCGGCCACGCACTGGTACAGCTTGCGAAGGTTCTTGACCTTGTACATGTCCAGGCACACGATGAAGGTCTGGAACACGTCCTCCATGAAATGCTTGACAGGCCCGGCCTGCAGGCCGACTTGTAAAATAGTCGTCAACGACTCAACGGCTGCAGCTTGCACATGCTTGTTTCGGTCCTGGCAACGTTCCAAGATGGCAGACATCACCACGGGCAATGAGCCACTAACTAACATGATGACGCCGGGCAGAAACTGTGTCAAGCTCAAACATGCTGCACTTCGCAGAAGGGGCTGCTCTGCAGTAAGCTTTGATAGGAGGAGCCGTATCATGCCATCCAGGAGTTCGGGCGTCACCTGGATGCAACTGGCACCAATGCAACCGAGGGCATGGATGCCAGCCTCTTGCTGTTTCCAGCAAGTGGCCTGAAGCTTCTCAGAAATCATTGGAAGCATGCGGGAGCACACTTGCGGGTGCGTACCTGCATAGCCAGCTAGAGCATCCAACGCATCTGCTGCTGCACGGCGTGCTGTCCACTCCTCACTCAGAAAAGAACCTGCAGCTGCCTTCTCAGCCTTGTCCATATCACTGAAGCCACCTTCCTTGTGAAATTGAGGTTGGATCTCCTCCATGGAATCCGGCCGGTCGGCATTGTCGTTGTCCAAGGAGCCAGCATCCATCGCCATCATGTCTGCTGAGCTGTAGACCAAGTTCGCCAGAAGGACCTTGGTCAGGTCGGGAAGGTTCTGCTCCAGGAGTGGATGTAGAGCTGAAGCCTCGGAAGCCACTCTCCAAACTGCCAACGCTTCACGCCGAACATCCTCGTCGACATGCTCTCCAGCGCGGAGCATGAAGCCAAGGATCATACCCACGTGGTCCTGCGACAAGGCGGCCCAGCGCTGCTCGATGACAGAGCAGAAGCCCTTGCAGGCATTCTGCACCAGCTCTGCATCTTCGCTCATCGCCAATGCACCGAGGCTCGCGAGGAAGCTGCCTTGCATTCCCGCTCCAGCAGGCCACTTTTCGGGGTCGAAGGCACCCTGGACGAGGTACTGCATCAGCAGGTCAGAGGCCTGCTTCCGCAGCCAAGTTGGGAGCCTTTGGTCGGTTAGCTCGATGGTGCGGGGTAAGATCTTGGCACAGGCGAGCTGCACGAAAGCCTCATCCACACCCTGCCCCAGCAGATCTTCGGATGTCAGGGTCAAGGCCCACATACTACCCTCCACCACATCTGCATTGTCCACGTGAAGCTGCTGCCAGAGCTTATCGATCACTCCAATGTCCAATCGTCGCCTCATCAAGGAGGCCAGCACGCTTCCCGCCGTATGGCGTAAGATCTTGGTGGGATGGCTCAGCGCCTTCATCACTTGCATGCATAGACATGCCTCTGTTGCTTGATCAACAAAGCAAACCTCGCTGTTTTGCTTCAGTAAATTCTTCAAGTGGATGCCAGCGCTCTGCCGGATATGGATGGACTTCGTTTCGAACTCGACGAAGATCTTCGACAAAGCCACCAGGAATTCTGGCCTCTTGCCAAGCTGCTGCATCGAGCTCAAGACCTTCTTTTGAAGGTCACCATTTGGCATGAGCGAAGCTTCTAGGAGCCGACAGATCTGCTCCATGTCGGCCGACCCCACCTCTGGGGCCGAGCCCGGTTTGAGCCCAGCTAAGTCGCCGGGCCCCACGCTGGCCATCGCAAGGCTCATGGCGCCGGACTCCCTTTGGAGTGGGAAAGCGCTCCAAACCTTAAAATCAAGCGAGCCTGGTGGCCTAACTCAGTCGCCTAGCGCCCATGCTGCGTACTCCATCTATATGCTCGTAGACGAGTGCGTCTCTGACAGGCAGAACGACAGAGAATGCCTTGTCGAGCCTGGAGCCGTAGGCGTTGTTCGAACATTTAAAACTCAGACAGAGGTGACATGCTTGCTCGCCACTTCAGAGAAGTGCCACGGCCAGTGTCGCAGCACCACGGTCCGAGGTGGATTAGCACAAAGAACGGATGCCATCTTCACTCGAAGCGAAACATTCCCACCGTGCCGTTCTCAGCAAACCAAACCCTGTGCCAACCAACCTTCACGGAATACCAGCAGAACCCTTTGCGGGGGGAACCTGAATTCCCATCTTCGTCACCATCTTGATGATGTCGGATGCCGGAACCTGGCGAACGAACAAGCCCAGTGAGATGTCTCGAGGACCTTTTGCCCTCTGGACTGAGAAAGCGGCACGATCAACCTTTGTCAGTCTCTTGATCACGGAGCCCAAGGTCAATTCCCTTGGCTCTTAGCTGTTGGCTTTCCGTTGGCTTTCAAAAACGCTTATTGAGGCCGACGCTTTAACCTCTGCTCGCGCAGTGCCTCTTCTGCCTCAGAGATGAAGCAACGTCTCGTGCCGTCCACACATTCAGAAGCTTTCGCCCCAGGGCCCAGCCTCTGCCAAGACTTGTGCAGCTTGGACAGCCTTGCTTGGGGCGGGGTGCTTTCAGATCTTACAGTCGACGCACAGGAACGCTGACGTGCAGTCAAAACGCCGACATACGTCGCCCAGCGGTAGGTCGCTCTGGCGACACGGGCTTTGATGACTCCTGCGAATGCTCATATAATAACTGCACATCTGTGGCCGCGGGAGTTCTGTCTTGCTCACCAGTCGGAAGGACCAAGACTGTCTGCTGAGTGAGGAAGGATATACCAAAGAACAGAAAGGGAGAGATGAGCAAGTCGGGAGGAGTATGCAAGGCTCACCGGCTTCGTGTGAAGAGAAATACATCATTGTGTTGTATGCGCCAGCTTTTCTTCATATGCCTGTATGCACAAAGGTTTTAGCTTTATGCTTGTATTTGTTTGCATATTCATATTTGCTACGTATGTATGAATGCCAAAGCACATACAAAGCTAGATACCCTCCGAAGACACGGAAAGCCTCCGAAGTCCAAAAAAACAAAAGCAGTCGCCAGACCTCGGCCTGGTGCTGCTTCACCAAAGCCGCAAAGAGGTCGCGGAACTGCTGCACCTGCCGGCTGAAGGGGTGAGTTTATAGGAGTCGTGAGAAGGGCTCTGGCCTTAGGCCTTATGGGTTTGGGGGGGAGCTACGTGCTTAGGACATTTTGGAAATTGCGGGATTTCTCGATTTAAGCCCAGGGGTCCGAGCCACGGAGTCCCCTCTGGAGCTCCGGCCTCTTCCTTGGAGAAGGTCACTTCCTGCCGTTTCCGCCGCGAGCCAGGGAGAGACGAAGTGAGAAGCCGTGAGCTGAGCCTTCAAGGCCGCATCCTCCCTCTCGAAGACCTCTGGAAGCTTCTGCCCAGGTGCCGAGACAAATCTCCCACCAATTCTGGGAATTACTCACAAAAGTTATCAACAGCTCAAGTTCGGTAAGGCATGCACCGCATCGTCATGAATCTTGACGGTCTCGCGAACGAAATGGATCTCAGCATTGCCCGTGCATCTTCCGATGCTACTTCGGGATCAACATCACTGGAGCACAGCAACATGTCAGAGGCGGCGTCCATAGGCAGGAAGCGCACCCGCGGGGTGTTGGGGTTCCCGACCTGACTGGGAGCCCGAGGCCGCCCCCTTCTGGCAGAAAGGCTCGGAGCGAGCCCGAGCAGGCCTCCTCCTTGCTGACGCCGGCATCGAAGGCAGCCTTGCAGCACATCTGCGCTCTCTCTCTCTCTCTCTCTCTCTCTCTCTCTCTCCCTTGCGACGCGCTCTTCATTCAATCACACCTCACGGGATCTCTCCAGCTGCTCATACCTTGGAGACGAGGAAAATTCTCACTCCGCTCTCTAAGCCGTTGTTCGGGCCGTCGGCCTAAGTCCGAGGCATCCGGGCTCGACCAGCCACGGTGTTAACGGCTAAGCTCGTGTCGGCCAAGAGCGACAAGAAGGATCCGATGGATATGTGGCCCTTCTTCTCCACATCTTGTGATTCGAAAGACTTGCGAAGATCGTCGATCTGATCCAGTTGGAAGTTGGCATGCCTCCTGTTGTAGATCGGTATCGTCTTGCGACAGTAGTCGGCCACTTTCAAGAAGCCTTCAAACTGCAGCGACTGAGTGGACTCACGATCATACTCTCCGGATTCCTCAACCAGGCTGAGCGCTTGGTCCAGAATGTGGACGTTGGGATGTAGCTTGGTTGCAACCAGAACGCGCTCAATTTCGTTTGGTGGCGCCCCACCCCGGGCAAACAAACGATTTCGGGCGTACGTGGCCGTGTAGGATGCCAATGTTACTTCCCTTTGGAGTCGCATCAGCCGCAAGAACTCATGCCGGTCCATTGTCTTGCTGCCATTGAAGTCCACTCGACTGACCATGTCTTGGACATCATCTACACCTTCAGATTTCAGGGCTCAACTCTTTTGGACCGAGATCCCTTGAAACATGGCTCCGAACTCCCTGCTGCTTCCGGGCGCCTGTCTCGAAGCCAAGGTAAGTGAGCAGGTCCTTGACCTTCAGGTTCTCAAGCTCGCCTCTCACAAGGGCCGTTTCATTCGGTGCCCCATATTATCGGGGCCTTAATGATTACCTATACTACTTTGGGTGCATGCTCCTTACTATAGCTATAGTATACTATATCCCAAACCCCTCTTCTATTATTGAGGCCCCTATATTTGGGAGGGGGAAACCGCTCCTGACTTGTCGGAGAAGCGGTCAAAGGCTTCCGAGAGCTCCTGCTGCTCGTCGAGGGTGAAGCCGTTCCGTTTCTGCACCGCCTGGAAAAAGTTCTCTAAGTTAGCGCCCTTTTGAAGCTCCTCTTTATCAGGGGCGCCGTACTATATTTGGGATCCAAAAAAGGGAACCTCATTTCGAGAACTACCTGCCTGGAGGAAGTTCCAGGCATCCTGGAACTCCACGTCCTCATCCCCCAAGCTCTGCTCCTCCACCAGCTCCTCCCACTCCTCCCCCGACAACGCGAAGCCCAGAGGCTTGCCTCAGAAGACACAGCTGAGACAGGAGGAAGCTTACCAGATCTTGCCAGAGAGCCTACACTAATATGATGTATAAACTACACATACAACATAGCAACCGTATATCTACTACCCTTTCAGCAACCCTTGCAATCTACAAAAAACTCATCGCGGCTTCCTGAGCCCTCCGAAACAAAAAAGCAAACAAACTCTGCTTGGAGGTTCATGGGTAGTCAATTATAGGTGGGGTGATATGCTTATAACCCCTATTAGGAGACTTATCAATACCTACTCATGAACCTCCAAGTGGAGTTCTCACGGCAAGTGCAGCCCGGGCTGCAGAACTCCCGGAGCTCCTCCGCTTCGACGATGCCGTCCTCGTCGGCGTCCACGTTGTCGAACTCTTCGGAAGCCGTCAGGAGCATCGCATCCTTAGCTCCGCTTCCCACAAAGTTTACGAGTTTAGGGGTCAGGGTTTAGGGACTTTTGGGGGGGCACCTTTTTCCACGAAAGGGTGCTTATCCGCCGACCCCTCCGTGGGGCGGTGCCCAGAAGCTGTGTTCTCCTGTTGTCCTCCCTGCCACATCCCGCGCAATGCATGCCGCAGCTCCCCCTCAGCCCCGCCTGGCCCCTCCCCATTCGGCACACTGTGAGCACTTCGGCGCTCTAGCGTGGTAAAGGGAGTGTTTCTCCGCGAGGCTCCGCGACACACTGTGGCTCCTTTTACTTTTTGGTGCGGTTTAAGGCTTGTTTCTAACGGTATTGGAGTAATCGAATTCGAGCCCAATGCATCTTATCTATCCGATCTATCAATCGGCGACAGATCGACCCATCGATCTATCTACAGATCTAGGGGTCTGTCTGTTTATCTGTCGATCTGGCTGTCCGCCCATCTGTCTGTCGATCTATCTATCGTCACGAAAATCAGTCGCCTGTTAACTCTGGAACTGCCGTGTGATGAAGAAGTGCGATTGAAGTGTGTGTTGGGGGCGTTTGGGAAATTGCGGTTGGGATGTGTTTGACGTCCTGTTGAGATGTGTTTGAAGTTTGAAGTGCGTTTGAAGTCAGCTATGGCAGCTCTGGGTCCAAACCGTTTTGGATGCGTTTTGGGGTCCAGGCTCTCGGGATTGTGTCCGGTCCCCAAACAGTTTTCGTTCCTTGAGGCTCGTAGATCCAGAACGCAGAATCTTGGAAATTAATTATGCGTGCTTCATGGATGCATTTAAGGATGCGTTTTGGGTTGCTCTTGGAGTCCGCCGCGGGCGTATGTCCAGCAAAACGCAGCCCAAACGCATGTACTCGACAAATTCGCGTTCCGGCGGGTCACGGATCCAGAATGCGTTGTGGATGCGTTTTGGGATCCGGGCCCGTGTCCGGACCCCAAAATGCACCCAAAACACGCAACTTCGCGAAATCTGAATTTGGGATGGGTTCCGGGCGTCCGGACCCCGAAACACAGCCGGAACGCAAGCATATGTTCGAGACATGTGTGCTTTAGACGCATGATGCATGTCAAATGCACTGCAAGACGCTTCAAACACACTTCTCACGCACTTCGCACATCTTGAAATGCATCCCAAACGAATCCCAAACGCATCCGACTAGTAATATCTTTAAGCGGACAGACTGGCACGGTACACCTACGGAGATGCCGGGGCGCTCGAAGGCGACGGGCGCAGACCAGGAACCTCAGAGTGAGACTTTACTTACCTTTGGTTAGTCGGGAATGGAGGAATGCGGTATAATTATGACTATTATGATGACTACTACTACTACTACTACTACTACTACTACTACTACTACTACTACTACTACTATTACTACTACTACTACTACTACTACTACTACTACTACTACTACTACTACTACTACTACTACTACTACTACTTCTACCATTCTTCCATTCCCTACTAACCAAAGGCCAGTTTAGAGCGGGGAGACTTTCGCTTCGAAGATCCGAGGGCGGGGCTCGTAGAAGCAAAAGGGCGTGATTTTTTCGCCCTGGCAGCTCAAGGTTCAGGGTTTCTGTTTTTAGGCTCCTTTTTGATGTCCGCCAGGCAGCACACTTGAAGGCCAGCAAGGTTCAGGGTTTGGGGTTTAGGGCTTCCGGGTTTAAGGCTTCAGGGTTTAAATATGCAAGGGTTTTTGGAACTTAGGACGCCCAGTGGGGCCTCAATGGTTTCTTCCATCCTGTCCAGGAGCTCCCTGAGATGTTCAGCACCTCAGTCACAGCATGGTGAGGAGTTCCGACATGTCGTTGATCATGACCACCATTCCACATACCAGCTCAGGCGCAATATAGCCCAGCGATCTTCAGAAGACCTATGCAAAGTTGTCCGGCTTTGATGTGCCTTCAGAAACGCGAGCATGATCTGCCGCTCATCTCGCAGGGCCGCACCTAAGGCTTTGGCCTTTCTGACCGCATGTCAGCCGCAGTCTTCGGCTGTGGCTCTGCCTGAGAAAACAATTTCACTCACAGCCGCTGGTGGCATCGCTGCTGCTGCGCATCAAGACTTGCAGCGTGCAGCTCAGCTTCGCAGATCTAGCATGATGCAGCATTGCAAATGTCGCACCAAGTCATCCAAAGAATGAGCATCTCGTCGCGCGCACGTGCTGAAAGCATGTGTGAAGAGGAACACTCTAAAGCTGCCTCCAAGCTGAGGAAAGCCTCCTGGATCCGATCGATCTCCTCGGCACTCCCACACAAAGCCACGGCAAGCCAGAGCTGCTAGAGCACTGAGAGAGCTTTCAAATCATCCTAGCGGCGGCTTTCGTGAAGCCTTCACGGGCTCGATATGCTGCGAGGCACCGCAGGAGCTCCTCAGAAAACACACCGCACACCACCGAACTTCGCAATGTGCCACAATTTCGCACAGTTGTCGGCGTGCCTCTGGGCGGGCGCAGCTGTGACCACTCAGGCCGCCCAGTGTAATGATCTCCTCGGCCACGTCCTCGTTGGGTTCAAACCGCCGCGGCGCCGCGGGGCGTCTTTGAGACTCAGACAGAGACTCCGGTCCGGCCTTCAGACAAACGATGCCCAAGGACTTCAGGAAGCCGCGGACTTCCTGTCATTTGAGAACGTCACCGTGCCTTGGGCACGGACACAGAGGCAGTTCTTGCAATTCTCGGGCAGGAGTACGGCAATGGGATCGGGAGCGGAATCATCCTCGTCCTTCTCCCGCCTCAGCCGGCGAAACAGGCTCTCCACGCAGCACGGGCTCAGCACGGACTCAGGCATCAGAAACTGATCATGTCTTCTGAGCGGCGCTGTCCACTCCTCCAACTTCACACGCACAACCTGGAACATGAGGGCCCGGAGCAAACGGGGTGATGCCAGGAGCCCTGCTATCCTTCAACAATACACAGGGACTTGAACATAATCCCAAGAACAGGCCAGGTCCGGGGTGTCCACTTTGCATGTGAAAAACAAGGCTGTGTAGAACGCAGAACCCTTGTTAGCACGCAAACGTGCGCAAGCCAACGGAATAGTGAAACACATGGAGAAGCTCGGCTTCGCCCACGAGCTTGCATTTTCTCTTGCCCCTCGTGGTCGCGCCTCCCGCTCGTACTGCATGTAGCGCTCCACGAAATCGCAGAAATCTTGGAAGTCCAAGGTCGAGAACCTGAGAAGCTCGGGGCATCTCGGGGCACTGGAAACTGGTTTAGAGTTTAGGGTTCAGGGTCTAGGGGTTTAGGGTTTAGGGAAGGAATCTAAGTCTAAGGTCTTGGCTCATTGGTATCCTTGGCAATGGCTGTGGCCTTCCCCGCACTCACAGGCGAAGCGGGGCATGCGACTTGGGCATAGTTGCACCTTGTCCTCGGAGACAGGAACATAGCAAAGGTGGGTCAGTACCTGGCGCATGGGCACGCGAGGGCCCTGATGCAACTAATCTCACGACTTCGCTCGCTGCGGCCTCGTGCACCTGTCCACGGTAGAGGTCGTTGTCCTCGGAAGAGAACCTCTGGAAACAGATCCGCATCCTGACCAGAGAGAGCGGCGTCTTCAATTCGTAAGGAAGAAACTTGAGAGTAGAGTGGACGAGATCTACGGGGAACGGAAGGGGAGCTGCGCGTTGCAAATGCACAAGCATCAAATGTGCAGTGCTGCTTCTCGTACGTGGCAGGCAAGCAACTAGTTTGATAGAGAATTTGAGTTCGCATGCGCGGTCATAAAACCTCAGCCTGCGAAGAAACAATGCACGGGCACGGCAAAGCATGTTTCTCAATGCTGGAAACATTAACATGTCTGGAACGATGGTTTACCCTCCTACAAACTTGTCGATGCCAGCGCTTGTCAACAATGAGTCTGTAAGTTAACCAGTCCGAAAAGTAGCATGCGGTGAGCATGAAACAGTCTGAGGCAATGCTGCTGTTTTCAGCTGTCCAGATGTCTGCTGCGGCTATGCTGCCAAACGATAGCAGCTCTGCCGTCTGTTGCGCTGACCCTGCTGACGCCTAGATGCCAGACACATCAGGACCAAGGGGGGCCCCCTAAGGTCTCTTTTAACCAAATCTGTACACAACCACACCCACAAGCTCCAAAGAAGGGAGCTAGCTGCTAGCTTTCTCCGGCCACGAGCTTTCTCGTTTCTGTGGCAACTGCGGTTCGTTTCGCTCTGGTCTCTGCCGCATCCCCCTGCGCATCGGATCCATGCAGATCGGATCTCAATCACTCGCTTGATTCCCCGACTTTTGTGGGAGCTGTTTCTGAGCTCGCCGTCGCACATATCGCAGCTACCCTCGAGCGCGACATCAGCTTGGGCTGCTCCCATTTCAAACAAAGCTTGATGTGGTGCGCATCAAGGTGAACATCATAGGATAGCAGCCTGAACCATACTTTGCTGACTCTTTGCTGGACTTGATCTCACGGCAGTGCGAAATTTCCATCTTCGAACAGGATGCAACTAGTTCAACAATCTCATGCCGTCGGGGTGTGATGGAACTTATGCGCTCGGCAAGATTTGAATTCAGTGTCTCACAACCCATGTGCCTCCTGACTTCGTGATCTGCCAGCACACCGCTGGGCGAATAGAACCTGGTAGGCCAGCTGCAGCGACCCGTCAACGACAAATGCAGTCCGCTGACCGCTGACCTGTCCAGTGCCTCTTGCACGCTGGCACACAGGGAACCAACCTGGAATTTCAATACGTCGCGCAATGCACGGGTGCCGCATCTGGCAAACCGGACACTCTTGGGTTGTATCCAAAGACTCGACTCTCGACTTCTGAACTATTGTGCCCGAATTGACGCAGCCGAAAGGGCTTTCAGGGCTGAGGAACTAAACCGGTGGACCCCACAAACAAGCCTGGTAAAATTTGGTGACCAGTAGGAAGAGGAAGGAAGGATAATGAAGAAAGGCCCGTGTCTCGCAGCGCACACGCGACAGGCGGGACGCGCCTTCTCCCAGCTTGCGGCCGGAAGCTTGTCAGCATCATCTTGGCCCTCTCAGGCTCGGAGCTCGAACTTCAGGAAGCTATGATTTTATGATAGATGCACCCCAAAACAACCCCTAGAAGGCGCCTGGAAATGCATCGTCACGGTCTCAGCCGCCATGAGAAAGCTGAAAGGTCTTTGAACTGCTACATGGCTTGTGCTGCTCATGTCGTCGCTTGATATTCAGGGCTCGACCCTCTTTCTGACCTTCTTTCGCCTTGGCAATTCTCATCAGGCTGTCTCAGAGCAGGTCTGCGCACTGCAGCGAACCGCTGCAACGCAGCGGAACCCGCCGAAGCGAACCGGACTTGGAACTGCACCCGTTTCCGGTCGAAGGCTTGGGCTCTTTCTCCGGCTTCTTCCTGCAGGTCTCTGTACTTGCACTAGTATGCTCTGATCTCTAATCACTCTAGTCCGATCTCTGATACCTTGTCATGAAGTCAGAAAAATGGAAGCTCTAATCACTCTAATCCGATCTCTGATACCTTGTCATGAAGTCAGAAAAATGGAAGCTCACAGGTCCTCGACTGGGCTCTCTGAAGGGCTCCGGCCTGTTGTCCAAAGAACCAGCGGCTCGTCTACGCAGGGTGAGAGCAAACTTGCCGGGCATTCCCGCAGCTTTGCCGCCCTGGTGGCTTAAAAGGTGCAGAACTGCAACAGTCTCCACGCCCCAGAATCTAGGGCACGTGCTGGGCCATGGTCGGCAGGGTATGAACACTTCTGACATTTTTCGGACGGGACCTGCAAACAACGTGTTGGGAGCAGTAGATCCATTCCCAGACATCTCAGACTTGGTCTCGAGCGGCGGGGGCAGACCAAGCATCAGTCTGCCTTGATTTGGCAGTCGAATGATAACATTTCTCGAGAGCGCCTCTCTCAGCTCCGTACATTTCGGATCTTGCAAAACTGAATTGCGAGCAGCTTTCGAACCTCGGACTCACGAGAGACTGACTCGAAAAGACAGGAATGAGTCTCGGCATCTGGAGCTTTGCTTCTGGCGGATGTTCCGCCTCAGCTCCTCGAGCTTTGGGTCGCTCCTGGCAAGCAAACGACTCAGTCTCTGAAGCTTTGCCACGGTTGGCTGCTGGGCTTCATGCCGTAGTTTCACGGATCGCAACCTTTGCAGACGCACGAGCAGCAACAGCAGCAGAGAAGCACGGCTGGAAGTACCGGAATAATATCGTCTTGAGCAAGTTGCTGAGGTGCCGATTTCGAATAAGCGAGTTCACGCGATGTCCTGCTTCATACATTGATGCACAAGGGCACACGACGAGGTCATGCCAAGGCATGATGGAGTAGGGTAGGATACTGTCCGCTGCTGCGATGCTGCATCGTCAGATCCTCAGCGACATTGCATGCATTGTGCACGTCAAGCATGCGTCCACGAAGCGGAAAATGCTTGAACATGGACACGTACAAACGAGCGCAGCACGCTCGCTCGAGTCCGACAGCTTCCGCAAGAATGTGTCAAGCTGAATATGCTCCACCTCGCCCGACCGCCGGACGCAGCAACATCAGCTTTCCCGTCATCATCTTCTTCTTCATCAGGTTCATCATCATCATCATCATTTCATCACGATGCTACTTGCCAGGGAACCCACAAGAAGCCAGCTATGTTGCCTGCATGAACTGCAGGGGCGCGATGGCTGTCACCTGACCTGCACGACATCCGAAGGCGGAGCAATAAGCTTGGCCTCTATGCAAAAACTGAAAGGTGGTGGAGAAGTAAGTCCCTAACCGGCTCCATCGGGCTGCACAAAGCGCCACTTGGGGCTCCCCTCGAGTCACTTTGGGCCGCGGAGCTCGGGCGACGGACTTGAGCAGACAATGCGAGTACAGCTGCTGCACACGAAAACAGTGCCTGGGCTTTTTGGAAATTCTGTTACGACGCATCCCAAACAGGCGCGCTCCAACGTCCCAGGTCGGAGGCACATCGTGGGGAACCTACCCGCTGGTTAAAACGATTGGTGAAACCGTTGTGGCTCCTGACCATGATACTTTGTACCAAAATGTACCACATCACGAATCACAGCCAGATCACACCAGTCCGAACACCCGCAAAAAGGAGCTGGACTTCGCCTCCACGAGGCTTGTTTTCAAGTCGGAGTGGTCTTGTCGGAGGATCGCAGCTTGGCGCTCAAGCAAGGCGTGCTCCGCCTCCAGCTGAAGGAGCTTCTGCAGCAACTCTGCCTTTGCCAGAGGCTGCCCTTCTGCCGAGGCCCCGCGGATCCGTCGGTAATTGGCCATGACGCCCTGCCGCCACTTGCGATGTTTCAGAGCCGCCCAGCGGAGGCGAAGCAGCCGACGCAAGGCTCGTTTCAAGCGGAACAGCCCGAGCCGAAAGTCCGCTGCCTGCCGGCGGCCAACTGCCCCACGCCAGCATCGCTGGATGTTCCGCAGATGCTTCGGGAGTTCCCGCATCCTCCGGCGCCTCAGCCAAGAGCGCCACCAGGCCTGAATCCTGCATGTCGCCTGCCGCAACCTCGCAAATTCCTTCCTGCAGGCCCGCATCCGCACCAAGCTTTGTAGTGCGGTACAGACAAATCTCACGCAGCGCAGTCGGCGCCGTGCCACAAGCGTCGAAAAGTTCGCCGCGATCAAAGAAGCAGCTCGGGCTCTCCTCTCCTCCTTGAGACGGCGCCGAAGTGCCACGCCCCGCCAGGCCGCTTGGAGCGCTTTCACCGCCCTGCGCCGGACGGCGGCCCGCTGTCGGGCGGAGTTTCCGCGGTACCGCGCCTGCAGCCGGGTGCAGGCCGCCGCCCGAGCGAGTGCCTGGGCCACCCGCAAGCGCCCTGCAGCCGACTGCTTCAGAAAGACCCGAGTCCTCCCCACTGCCACGGCCTCAAAGCTGCAGAAGGCTGAGGACAACACGACAGGATTCCAGGAACGAAGGTTGCTCAAGCCCCCAAACTTGTCAGGCCCTGGCATTTTCACAGGCTGAGCGCAAGGGCTCCGACTCGAGCAGCCGCCGGATGCTCTCGACCTTTGTGACTCTACTGTAAGAAGTATCTGGAGGATTCAGCGGCATCTGGACCCCTGCGAGGAGCGGACCAAGAAGCCGTCGGCAACGCCTTCCTGGAACTTCCGCATCGAAGCCTGAAGAAACCCAAACGAAGCCAGAATCCCCCAACAAAACGAGCACGCCCGAGCCTCCATCTCCAGTTGAACGTCTTTGCGCGCAATGCAGCGGAAAGCTGCCAAGAAGTCAAAGTGATAGTAGCGGACCTGGGCCCACAAAACCCCTCTATCTGAATCCTATGGTGCGGTTGCTCAACATGCCATTTCACAAGGGGACGTGGCGCATGGGTCCGGCTTCGAACCACCCAAAAAGCGTTGAACACAGTTTCTCGATAAAACACATTGCAGCCTTTCCCGAGTAGTGATGACTAATGCTTTCTGACACTTGCTACCTTTCTTTAAGCCTTCTCTGAGCTTTGCTTCTTCGGGACTTCTACCTCCTTTCAGATCCTGCACAGCTTCTCGGGCTGGCAAAAGCAACTAGGAGGCCGCAACGCTGGGCAACAGAGGCTTTGTAGGAAGACTGTCG